GGCGCCTCTTCTCTCCTGTGCGGACTTCGACCCACAGATCGCCCATGTTGTGCAATGAGTTGACAAATTGCTTCACCGGCGGCGTTTTGTGACAATGTTGTTTGTTAAACTCGTTCATCCTTGCTCAATCTGTTGTCAAAAAACTCTGAGGGGTAGTGTCATTTGAATTGCTTCTTTGTGCATGAATCCGGCCCATAGCGGGTTTGGAATTGGAACAGCTACGGGGCAAGGCATAAAGAACTGGTGAAACGGAAACCGCTTGCTGCAACTCAAGTGCATCAAATCGTTTCAAAATATAGAGCAAGGAAGAGGAGGAACCACAAAGAAACTATACATACCACATCCAGGAGAGGGTTTCATTGCACTGCCCCTTGTGTGCTTTCCATACCAAAAAAGCTGCGCATCCAAAAAAAGTGATACCCTATAAGGACGAAAACTCCTGATAGGTTTCGTCTTCCACTGATCTCTTGGTGTGACTCTGCGGCTATGAAGTGCTCGCTGCTTTTCTTCTCCCAGCGTCATAGGTGCACGACTGGCTTCGGACAAACCTCCCACTCCGCACCTTTGCTGCGCAACCAACGTTCTTCGCTTCTAGAGGGACAAAACAGGAAACCCGGGAATTTGACTTAGAGTTCAAGTATGGTTCAATGGAAAGTCCCGACAGGGAATACAAAACTGAAGGCTGAAACTTATTGATGATTCGTTGTTGGGAGAAGAGCTTCTACCTTCTTCCACCTCCACTTGGGACCAAGAGTGCAGGTGAAAGTTTCAGGGCCGCCTAGATGCCCTAGACTTGGCCCGACTTGGCCCTCACCAAAGGTCATCTCTCAAGTTCATTCAATCACAGCACACTTGGCACACTTCGCTACATGTCCTTGGAAGACATGGAACTACAGTGCGAAATGAGACTTGAAAAAAATAAGAGAAATGATTTGGGAAACCAAAATTGTATCATCAAATCCAACAACTCAATGACAAGGAACCACTGGTCCTGGTGGCCTCATTGCACCAAGTCCTTCGGCACTGTTTCAGAGAATTGACTGAATTGACGGTCAAAGTTGCAACTTCAGAAAGTCCAGTCAAACGCTGAATCCATCTGAGTAGATTTAATTTTGTTCAAAAACTACGGAGTTTCAAAAATACATTTTCTCGATTGCTCAACTGCGGATATCGAAGCTTCACGCCTCATGACGGAGCCTGGGAGAAGACGTTTCAAGATCGAAGGTTTACAACTGAGGTTGACTAGTTTCTTGTTGCAAAAGTCTCGTTTTTGGACATAATGATGACAGAATGCTCTTCCAAGTGCCAGTGTCATTGTATACTGTAACCTGTCAGTGAATTCACGATACATCCGCTGATTCGCTCCGATTCCTACATTCCAGTTTCATCAAAATCCCAAGACTTCAGTATGACTTGGGTCCGGAAATCTCCCGAAAGGAAAGATTCCGGAAATCTCCAACAAATAAGAGATTTGCCGATTTACCCAAGAATTCCCTTTCTTTTGATGGGGAACCACCTTGCAACATTCATTGGGTTCCCCTGCAGGCCCTGGTGGTGGTGGCCCTGGCGTCAACACTCCAGGTGGCCCAGTTGGCGGTGCACCTGGAAGGCAGAAAGTTGATGAAACTTCTAAGGATTCTTCATTCCAAAGGTAGACCACAGGCTCTAGGTGAGTTCTTAGGTGTTTTTGTCACTTACTGTCACTTACTTATGTCTTTATGTTCAAGCGTTGCTAGCCGTTGATGTTTTTCCCAGTGAAGGGTCTTGGGAATGTGCTGTCCTAAGTTTCACTCTGTTTCTCTGTGGTCAATGAGGCTGTTGTGTTTTATGCAAGGCGTTGATGTTGGACTAGTTCAGAATATTCCGGTTTGGAAATGAGAAGAGTCAAAGGAAACCAACAAAAACACAAACATTCCGAACATCCCTCAACAATCCAATGAATTGCAGTACCAAATTTTCCCCAGAACCAAACCAAGGAAGCACTGAACATCAATATGGTTTCATTTGAAATTCATCAACTTCACAAAAAAACTCTCAGTCACTAAACATAACCAGCACCTGGAGGAGGCGCACCTGGGCAGTATGATTTTGGCGGGGAAAAACCAAGGTAAACAGCAGCCAAATGGGAAAACAATGGATTTTAGGGCAAAATGTGTGGCAATTTCACGAGGAACAATGTGGGAAAGGGATGTTCTAAATCTATTCCAAAATTTTCAGGCAAAGCCAAATGATGTTTTTTGACTAGAGCAAAAGATTTGGCCTTGATTTCCAGTATTCGGAGGTAGCCATTTTCTTGCCAGAGGTTGTTTTCGGGTACGTTGAAGGAAAACATCAGAAGCTTTCCAGGATCCTGCGCTAAGCTTGAAGCACCCCTATGTCATACCAATCCCAAGTTGTTCCTTTTGTTTTCATGCTGATTGGTTGTGTCTGCCCCACCGGCGCATCGAAATTCATCTGAGTGATGCGCCAGCTTTCGGTGCCTCGGAAGTGGTGTCTCAAAAGGCTGCCGCTAAAGGTCAGCGACTTTCCATGGCCAAACTTCTGAGATCTGGGCCGCTCTTTCCGGGCTTGGCGTGTAGCTGTAGCTGTATGTGTACCTTGAGTTCACGATGTGATAGTCGTAATGTGATTGTTGGTTGCTGGCAATCAACCAGAGTGGCTGCAAAACAAAGTGTGCTCCTCATGGTCAGTGTAGGATGCGGATATATATATATATCCGCCGACCCCGCCAACGGCAAGGGGGAGCGCGTCAGAGAAGACATTACAATCAGCCAGGGGCAAGAAATGATTAGAGAAAACAGCAAGAGCCAGAAAGAGGGAAGCAGAGAAACCAAGACAGCAAGGAGCAAGAGCACGCGAGCAAAATGGCAGCGCGATAGAAAAAAGGGACGAAATGGGGCGAAAGAAAGCGCACGTTAGGTGCCGTAGACTGGAGGGCGCGAAGGGCCAGGAGCAAGAGCAAGAAGGCAGGAGAGGCAGCAAGGGCAAGAAGGGAGGCCAAGAAGGGCCAGGAGCAAGAGCAAGAAGGCAGGATAAGCAGCGGCAAAAGCAAAAAGATAACCAGTTTCTTGTAGCTTCAGAGAGCGACGCTAGGCAGTACAGGCTGTCGCCCGGAGGCCCATTCCGCCCTTCACTGCCATGCTGTTCGAGTGTGGCGAAGGCGCTTTTTTCGAGCCTTGGCAGCTGAACGTTTCGAGGCGTTGCCGTCAGGCAGCAAGAGCAAGAAGGGAGAGCAAGAGAGGCCAGGAGCAAGAGCAAGAAGGCAGGAGAAAGCAGCGGCAAAAGCAAAAAGATAGCTAGTGTCTTGTAGCTTCAGAGAGCGACGTTAAGCAGTACAGGCCGTCGCCCTGAGGCCCGGTCCGCCCTTCACTGCCATGCTGTTTGAGTGTGGCGAAGGCCCTTTTTTCGAGCCTTGGCAGCTGAACGTGTCGAGGCGTGGCCATCAGGCAGCAAGAGCAAGAAGGGAAGGCAAGAAGGGCCAGGAGCAAGAGCAAGAAGGCAGGATAAGCAGCGGCAAAAGCAAAAAGATAGCTAGTTTCTTGTAGCTTCAGAGAGCGACGCTAGGCAGTACAGGTTGTTGCCCGGAGGCCCGTTCCGGCCTTCACTGCCATGCTGTTTGAATGTGGCGAAGGCGCTTTTTTCGAGCCTTGGCAGCTGAACGTTTAACGAGACGTGGCCATCAGGCAGCAAGAGGGAGGGCAAGAAGGGCCAGGAGCAAGAGCAAGAAGGCAGGATAAGCAGCGGCAAAAGCAAAAAGATAGCTAGTGTCTTGTAGCTTCAGAGAGCGACGCTAGGCAGTACAGGTTGTCGCCCGGAGGCCCGTTCCGCCCTTCACTGCCATGGTGTTTGAGTGTGGCGAAGGCGCTTTTTTCGAGCCTTGGCAGCTGAACGTTTCAAGGCGTGGCCGTCAGGCAGCAAGAGCAAGAAGGGCCAGGAGCAAGAGCAAGAAGGCAGGAGAAAGCAGCGGCAAAAGCAAAAATACAGACCGTCGCCCGGAGGACCGTTCCGTCCTTCACTGCCATGGTGTTTGAATGTGGCGAAGGCGCTTTTTTGGAGCCTTGGCAGCTGAACGTTTTGAGGTGTAAGCAGCGGCAAAAGCAAAAAGATAGCCAGTTGTAGCTTCAGAGAGCGACAGACAGGCCGTCGCCCGGAGGCTGACGAAGGCGCTTTTTCAAGCCTTGGCAGCTGAACGTTTCGAGGCGTTGCCGTCAGGCAGCAAGAGCAAGAAGGGAGAGCAAGAGAGGCCAGGAGCAAGAGCAAGAAGGCAGGAGAAAGCAGCGGCAAAAGCAAAAAGAAATGTCCGTCAGTTCGAGTGTACAGCAGCGCCTTGCATGTGTCCATGGACCAATAGTTTGGCTGCATTTTCCCGTTCGCATCAGCTGCTACTGGTGGCCAGGCCATCGGAACCCGCTGCCGGACAAAGTTGACATTTTTGTTTCTCACCCATCCAGAAAAAATGAAACATGGCACAGATAACCCTCTTCTCTAGCTACTGTCCCTTCGGAGCACGAGCCAGAGCTGCAACTTCTGCTTCTACCTGGCACCAAGATAAATCTTCAACCCACTTCAAGAACCAATGAAAGCAATCTGAGCAATCACCCAACCTCTCTTGGCAGCTTTTGGAGCCCGTGCAGGGCCAGGCCTTAAGTGAGAAAGATCCTGATTTTGAAATTGGAGCAGATACCCCATCCGCATTCCCCTTGTCATTTTGCATATGACCAATATGACCCATATGACCAATATGACCAATATGACCATACGGTTTTAAATACACAAGAAAAGGATAGAAAACGACCGAACAGCCACAAATTTCATCCAGCAGAATCTGGGCTCTTGGCGGGCCATAGGGATGCCCTTCAGGGCCCCCAGGTGGCCTGACAAATCAAGATGGATGGTCCAAAATGGCCCAAGGTGGCCCAGGATCCAAACAGCCTCCAGTTTGGCGGAGGATAGTGCGGATACCCAGGTGGAGGCCGTCCATACGGATCTGGCCCAGGCCTTGGAACTGCATGATATCAAAATGAAGGATAATTTGGGCAACTGAGAGGCAGACGGCCGCCCATAGTAGTCCTGATTAAAAAAATGGTAAAGACAAACATCCAAGAAGCAATGGCACACAGCGGCATACAGGTTCTCACTCTTTGCAAATCAGCATGATCTCTCTTGACAAGCGCGAAATTCCACAAGACATGCATACATAACATTCCAAATCTTGTGAAGTAAAAATTACACCGGCAAGAGACCCCAAACAGCGTGGGGGAGGAAGTCAATGTACCAGATACTAGCAACAGTAGCTATGGAACAGTAACAGATCAGGTTAAACGCTATCGCAACTGCAGCAGCAGGAACTTGTTTTGGTACAAGATGCAGCGCTATGTCTGCTCATCAGGACCTCATACCCGAACTTCATACCACGACATCTAAAATAAATTCAAAAGATCGTCAAAAAAGGATCTTGTATATAGAGAATCTCGCAAGATCTTCATACAAAAACTTCCTATGAGCACCCTCAACAACTGTCATACAAGCACCAACGCAGAGCATCTGCAAGATCTTAATCAAGGACCTCTTGAGGAAGATGCAAGGGCACCTAGGGGATTTCACCAGGATCTCCACAAGATCTTCTCACAAGGACCTGTACAAGATCCTGCAAGGACCTCTTAGAGGATTTTACCGGCATCCCTACAAAATCTTCTCACAAGGAATCGTTAAAGACCTTGACCAAGATCTTCATGCCAGCACCCCTCAGAGACTCCCACATGGTCGTCATAAAAGGCCCTGCTGCTGCTGCTGGAGAGGATCTTACAAGATCTTGAAGCAAGAACCTCCCAAGAGGATTTCAGAAGAGCTTTCATACAAGCACCTCCAATACATGGCATCTGCAAGATCTTCATGCAAGGACCTCTTAGAAAGGATCTTACCAGGATCTCCACACAAGATCTTCTCACAATTTACCTGTCAAAGATCATGCAAGGACCTCTTAGAGGATCTCACCAGGGTCTCCACAAGATATTCTCATAAGGACCTGTGCAAGATCATGCAAGGACCTCGGTGCAAGATCATGCAAGGACCTCTGACAAAATTTCATCAGGATCTTCACAACATCTGCTCACAAGGACCTCTACAAGATCTTGCTTGAAACTCTTGCAAGATCGTCATAGCAGGACCTTCCAGAAAACTCATAAGAAATATTTTTACCAGGATCTCACAGAATCAACTAAAATCAGCATCGGGCCACAACGAGGGCGATCTGACACCCACAAAGTGCCGAGAGGGTTGCGCGAGCGACATCCGCATTCGAGCCGCCCCACAACGAGAGCGATCCGACAGCCGCAAAGTTCCGAGAGGGTTGCGCGATCACATGTTAGATTTTCACAAAACCTTGCGCGCACCACGAAACATGAACATTTGAAAAAGTCAAAAACGACGTTTTACCTAGGTCTCATCCACTTTTGCGTCGAGGTCTACAAAGTACTGCCCCTGCCACGAAAAATGAGCCCGAGGCATCCGAAGTGCTGCACGTGCCGCACGGAATCATCATCATGTCAGCAAAAATGACAACACTTTCACAGACGAGACTTTCGACCCTTTCAAGACATCATCCAGGTTCACCAAATACTGCTCCTGCCACGAAAAATTACCTCCAAAAGCACCTCTCATTTTGACCCATGCCTGCCAACGTTCTAGCAATGTGCCGAAAGTGTCACGCCTGCCACGCGGATGAATGCCCGATGTCCTGCACCTGTCGCGCAAAACGAGGTTCAAGACCTAATGTCCCGGATGTCCCACGCCTGCCATACGAAATGGACATAGCTCAAAAAACGAGCACAGCACTCTAGAAAAAACCAGACCTTCGGAAACGAGCAAAACGGAACGCTCACTTTATGCGAGCCTGTGCAGAACTTTTACGCGAGAATTTACAGTGAAAAAGCCGGGGGCCGGATGGTGCACCTTGATCTAACCCCGGCCTTTAACCCTTACCGGAAGCTTCGTGTGGACACACTGTTTGGGAAATTGTTTGAGTGATGAGTTGCACTTGAAATGAGGTCAGTTTAGTGGTGGATATTCGGTATCTAGTAGAGTTGAAGTGAACAACGACCTTTGCCCCCTTCCACGTGCTTCCGCATGCTGCTTTCTCAATTGGGCAGTGCCCAGAACCTTCCGTCATCCCTTTCCCTGGTTGGTTGGTACCATTTCCCACAAACCATTCGATCAATTCTCGTTCTAGGATCACTTCTATTCGGGGCTTCAAGACTCCCATCGAAACAGGTTCAGGTCCCCGGGCCGGCGGAGGACCCCCGAAGGCGCCCTGGCGAAGACCGCAGAGCAAACCGAAGCACGGCTGGGGACTCTGGGGGAGAACACGGCGACAGGCGACATCGACCAAGCTCGCGGCCGGCGGTGGCATTCCGGGATGGCCAGGATGGCCGGGATGGCCGTGATGCGGCATCGGCATGCCAGGCCTCAAGCTTCCAAAATCTCAGATCTTGTAAGATCTTGCAAGGTCTCTTGCAAGGTCTTCAAAGTCTTGAGACGAGGTTAGCTTCATCTAGCTTTGTATCTTTGAGTGTCCAGGCTTGCACATCTGAGAACAGTTTGAAGGCTTTGGAACATCCATCATGGGTTTAAGGATGGAATGCAGGGCATCTGAGAGATGGACATCGGTGGGCGCATCATGTGCGGAGGCGGAGGTCCCAAGTGAGGAGGCGGCCTTGTGGCGAGTCAGTTTTGGACAAAGGCATGAACTTTCCCTTTCTCTCCGTCTCTCTTGACTGCAAGATACTGCGCGTCTGATCTGAATGCTTTCCGAGCTCAGCACAGGTAGCCGTGTGGCGGCGGGCCATGCCTATGATGATACAAGTCAATTCTGTCGTGCGTCATAGCATTCCTCTTCTGTTTTTGTTTAGCTTCTCCGCGCGATTGAGCCCCTGACCCCATCCACCCAGGAGGACCCATGCCAGGCCTCAAAAAGAAGAGATTCGGAAAGCACTCGAGAAATCTCCAGTCAGAATGCTCATCTGCACGTCTGCTCAGGCATTTGCGGTGGCATACCAGGGGGAGGAGCACCTTGTTGCACCCATGCTTCACACCACTCACAAGCACATTCTTTCGAATCAAAGGCAATTCAAGGCTGAGAATACCGCCTGCAACCCAGCCCTCGGGCGGTCCCTGAGGGGCAGAGGCGAGATTTAGGTGGGAATGCTTGGGCCGTTTGTGTAACGATCAGCAAAATGGGTCCAGTACCAACAGTTCAAGATGGATGGCATTTGTGCTAAGGGTAGAGGATGCACAGTCCAGTGAGAAAGTGAATGCAAGTGGCTCAAGCAACACAGTAAGGTCCTCCTTCACACCTTCCTACGAAACAAAAGACTATCGTGGAGGTCCAGTCTTCACAAAATGCAATATAAATCTGCAGCCAAGGCACAGGCATGCCTGCCTTTTTGGCTTGTTGAAGGCCACTTCCCCTGCCAATGCAGCAGCATGTTTTTTCCCGAGAATGGCCACAACTGGTGGGCCAAGGTCGAGTAAGGTTTCCACAGCCGCTTTATGCATGCGATTGATGCCCATTAGTGCCATAACTTCCAGTGATATTCCTTCGGCCTGTTATCAGCAAAGTCAGCTCTGATCTTTGATGACCCTAATTGCTCCTGAGGCAGCGCGCAAAGCAAAGAGCATAGTATTAGCACAGGCAGCTTGTCAGCTGTTGCTTGGGAACGAGGGGGACATTTCTTTGTGTCACAGAGGCTCCCGCACGCAACGCTTCAAGTGCTTTACACAGGCAACTCTTGACCAACAACCAGTACGGGCCCCAAGCCCAGCACCCAAGACTCATTTCCACAAGAAAACAATGCAGCACCGCGAGGAGATGCGAGGAGACTAGAGTCCAACACCAAACCAACTGGTGCAACGGCGTTCATGCTCCACCTTCAACCAATACCGTGCCCATTGTACCATGCACAGCAGCAGCCACCAACCTCACCTCTCCAAAATGCTGCACAACCCAGAAAGACCGAAATGGGTCTGACGCAAAATTTGTTAGCATGCTCCCCCTCGATACCAAACCACCATGTAGAGCTGGCAAGAGAATGACGAAAAATGTATGAATTTGTGCATTCGGATCAACAAAATCATTGTGTTCGGGAAGATGCCTCTTCCCGGTTCCAAAGCTTGGTGGAGGCTTCCATGTGACAAGTATTCCCATTTGGTAAACTGTACAACAAGAAAGGCGACTGACATCCCATCATGGATGCTCTCAGGCGATGCTGTGAGAAAATACATCAAATGACTGTATTGGTTACAAGTCTTGCGCCGACAATGTCCGTGACCAACCACTTCAGCGAAACAATCAGAGATATTCGTAGAAGCTTCCACATGCAACGTCATAAATACATCGTTTCATCACAAAGGGACACTTTGAGAAATTCAAAGTCGCAGTAGTTTTTTAGAAGCCAAGATTCGCCAGACAACTTGACGGCTTGGGCTGCAGAAGCAGCTTCTGCAAACTCGATGTGGCACAACGCACCACTAGGCTTGCTTTTGTCCTAGGATATGAAGACAGCATGTGCTGTGCCTTCCCCAGACACCAACAGAATCAACAGATATCAACAGATATCAACAGACTTTATTCAGTGACTTCACTGTCAAAGGGTCGAATCACGTCATCAAAACCGTGAGGCCGTGAGGCTCTGGCCAGCCGGATTTCTTTGATGTCACCACCTCAGGGCGACACAGACCGATGGCCGATGCTTCAGCGAAATCGCTGTGTGACAGCCTGACAGCTGGCTGAAAAGATCCGAGACCCGAACACTTGCCGAAAAACTCACGCAGCTCATCTTCGGAAGTGTCCTTTGCTAACAACTCTCCCAACGCCCGTCCCGGCTAAGGTCAGCTTCCAGCACCACTTGCTGCTCATCATACAAATTGGTGTTTGACACCCATCGAAGTCTCGGGCAAATGGAAACATCTGTAAAGTTTCTTCTTTCTGTCTATAAGCTTGATAACCCTTATAGAACAAAGGGCTGCGTGCTTTTTTGCTCACCAGCCCTAGAACACACATAAGTCATAATGCCAAGCAAAGCACCACCCAGCAGTGTCTACTGAAGGAAACAGCGTTGCAGCGCCGCTTGAGGCAATGACTTCCGCAAAGCCGTCCACCCAAACCTGCAGCAGCGATCCGAAAGCGACAAACTCCTGCTTGAAGGCGAAAGGGATACAAAGCCAACTACTGTAATACGACACTATTGCCACACTATCCTCAAGTTGTTGCAAGGAAGAGATGATTGTTTCAGATTTAAGATGCTATTATTCTTCTTAAAATGATCTGAAGACTGAAAGCTTCGCAGAATTGAGAAAGTCAGAAAGGGAAACTTCCTGCTGTACATCTGCACTTGGCCGCACGCCATTCGGCACTCCTCTGCTTTCCTGTCAAGTGGTCAGAAGTGAGACGAAAGGCCGGAACTGCACTCATAAATCCAAAACATAGACACAAGCCGTGCTTTCAAGTAAGTCTAAGTAAGTTCACTAGTCAAAACTGTACAGTCTGAACACTTGAGTACTATCGTGAAAATATGATAATATGTTTTCCCAACATATGTGTAAATACACTAATGCATACTATACCGTATACACATACATTCCCCTACATTTACAGTTACACCTGTGGTGACTATAATGAGACCTTCCACAAAATCTCATGACTTTCCAGCAGCCAAGTGACCCATCTTTGTTTTCCAACGCGGGAGCTCCAGCTTTGTCGGCCTCGCTTCGACTATCGCAACGGATAAACAGCGGGTTTTCACATTTGTTCATTCAAAATCGCTGGGGAACGATGATAGATATGGATAGATATGGATGTTCATCCCCTGCATATGAGAACAATAACAAGTGAAGTTGTTTCCTCCCATGTGTTTGTAGAATCATACGTGCAAATGATATTAAAATATATTAAAATGTGGTACCAGTATCATAGGTTCTGACCTGTCCCCAACTGGAATAAGATGGATTTGGGTTTCCTCCTCTTACAGCCTAGAACCCCTTCAACTTGGACCTGCAAGGATTTTGTTGGTTCTATTGAACGTCTAATCGGTGTCAGGTGTCAAGTCCCAACTGATCCCAGTCTTGATGCTTCTAGAAAAGCTGGAAAGCTGGCCCGCTAGCATGAAAAAGAAGCTGGGGAGTTCCTCTTTAGGTCCTATGGCTCGAAGCTCCAGCAACGAATGAGTAGTTTCACTCTGAGTAACAAAGCATAATCTCAAGTCCAATAATCAATAAGTCTAAAGATCAATGAGATTCAGGTCCCCGGGCCGGCGGAGGACCCCCGAAGGCGCCCTGGCGAAGACGGCAGAGCAAACCGAAGCACGGCTGGGGACTCTGGGGAGAACACGGCGACAGGCGACATCGACCAAGCTCGCGGCCGGCGGTGGCATTCCGGGATGGCCAGGATGGCCGGGATGGCCGTGATGCGGCATCGGCATGCCAGGCCTCAAGCTTTCAAAATCTCAGATCTTGTAAGATCTTGCAAGGTCTCTTGCAAGGTCTTCAAAGTCTTGAGACGAGGTTAGCTTCATCTAGCTTTGTATCTTTGAGTGTCCAGGCTTGCACATCTGAGAACAGTTTGAAGGCTTTGGAACATCCATCATGGGTTTAAGGATGGAATGCAGGGCATCTGAGAGATTGACATCGGTGGGCGCATCATGTGCGGAGGCGGAGGTCCCAAGTGAGGAGGCGGCCTTGTGGCGAGTCAGTTCTGGACAAAGGCATGAACTTTCCCTTTCTCTCCGTCTCTCTTGACTGCAAGATACTGCACATCTGATCTGAATGCTTTCCGAGCTCAGCACAGGTAGCCGTGTGGCGGCGGGCCATGCCTATGATGATACAAGTCAATTCTGTCGTGCGTCATAGCATTCCTCTTCTGTTTTTGTTTAGCTTCTCTGCGCGATTGAGCCCCTGACCCCATCCACCCAGGAGGACCCATGCCAGGCCTCAAAAAGAAGAGATTCGAAAACCACTCGAGAAATCTCCAGTCAGAATGCTCATCTGCACGTCTGCTCAGGCATTTGCGGTGGCATACCAGGGGGAGGAGCACCTTGTTGCACCCATGCTTCACACCACTCACAAGCACATTCTTTCGAATCAAAGGCAATTCAAGGCCGAGAATACCGCCTGCAACCCAGCCCTCGGGCGGTCCCTGAGGGGCAGAGTCAAGGGCAACCGCTGTGTATCATTCTGCTTAGAATCTCTTGTCAGAGAATGGCAAAGACTCCTATGTCATTAATGAACAAGGAGAACTCAATCCGTTGTAAAAAATGAGGTGTAAGACTGAAAGTTTGCCTTGCAAATGACATTCACATGACTTGAAGAGTTTGCTATACACTGCAGTCAGGGCACAGGAGCGCTGCCCTTCTTCATTGGTGGTAAGCCAAGTCCCCTGCCAGGATGTGCTTTCAATGTCAACGAAGATGGAGCCATCATAACATTTCACGGATTTCACCCTTTGGATCCCTTTGATGAGAAACTGGCAGCCATAAACTGGATTGCTGTCTGTTTCTTTATCCGGCAGCTAGTTACTATGTCATTCCATCAAAATAAAACATATACGATAAGGTAGCAATCACCAAGCCTATTCTCGGCAAAGTCAACTCTGATCTTGGATGATCCCAATCGCTCCTTGGAAAGACTTCATGATACCCACACAAAGCTTTGCTATTGCACATGGCGTGAAATTTTGCAGCCAGGAGACACCGGACAAACGAATCGCACGATCTACGCATGGAGAGTCCGCAAACTCGATGTGGCAAAACAGCGTGCCGCTGCGCTTGCTTTTGTCCTTGGCTGTAATTGCTGACGCAACGGGATGCCGGAAAATGCCTTTCAAAAGTTACCGAAACTGACATAAACAATGCCTCCAATGCTAGAACCCAACTTACGAGAACTGCAAAATTCAAGATCTTTCAGGCGCTGTCCAGTCGGATTTCCCTGATTTCGCCACCTCGGAACTAAACAGCATTGCAGAAAAGACTGACTTGGGAAGCAAATGACTCGGTAGTGCAAGCGCTTTTGTGATCAACAGGCCTGAGCAGGCTGAAGAAAATATGTGTAATTAATGTTTTTCAACCACGGTATTGTCCGGCAGGTTGCAGTGCCCATCAACCAAAAAAAAACATAAAACATTGTGTGTGACCAGAATCGAAGTCTTCACTTGTTTCACTGAGAACCCAACATTTTCCAAAATATTCGCGTAGCTCCTCTTCAGAAATCTCCTAAGCTCTGTATGAAGCAAGATGCAGACATTTCACAAGGGAACAAAGGAAATCACGAAATCACCTCCAAACCATGCGGCCTACCTCTCCGGTGGCTAAGTGAAGCACTGAAGGAAGGCCACCAACCCAAATCTGCGGCAGAATTTGCTTGTGATATCAGTGATATCTTGTCATAAAAACTCTGCAGACTCATTTGTGGGGTCTTCCCTGACGTTGAATGAAAATAGAATGCATAAAGGATTCCCCAACGGAATCTCTGAATTCAGGAAATTGGTGTAAGATACAGCTGTAACCTGTCTCAAAACATTTTAACCTGTCTCAAGGTACACCTTGGTTAAAATGGACAACTCAGCCACGTTAAAATGGAAGTCTCTCCTTCTGGATCCAGCTCTTTTTTATTGTCAGGTGTTCAAAATAGTACCACCATCCAATGTGCACTTGGTAGCCGGCCGTTCGGCAGTCCTCTGGCCTCCTGGCCGAGTCCCCACCAGGTCACCAGTGACATGAGATGGAAGGTACTTGAAGATACCCTAAAATACCCTACCAAAATTGGAACGTTGAAGTGCAAAGACTCAGTGACATTTGTGTAGCTTATAATTTCTCGGATATTGCATCTAATCTCACCATTCCATGTCGTTTCATCTTCAGATCTAAGAGCTGGTAGTAAACCGGCTGGGCCGACTGCGCTTCAGCTACAGTTCTGTCTTTGCCAACTCGGTACCTGCCACGAGGAGCGTGGCCATGGTTCCAAAGGAGAGTAAAATGAGTTTGTCGCAAGATCGAGGAAGGGTATGCAAAAACGGCAAATTTGATGGTGAAAATGATGATGAAGCATGGGATTATATGGGATTTTCGGGGCTCCAACATTTTGAAACCCAAAATCCATCAAGAAAACTTTTGGTCACGCAGCCAGGGGCTTGTCTTCCGCGAAGTCCACCCGAATCGGCACCTTGGCTGCGCTGTGCGGAGGTGTCGAGGTGTCAGATCATTGGAGTGATGGAACGTAGGGATACTATGGGATACTGATGGATACTGGGATACTTACTCTTACAGGGCACCTACATCCAAAATCATCCAAAGATCCTGAACTTTGGGACCTTGGTATGCTGTCGTGGCTCTCCAGACCAAGTCGCTCCATGGACTGGCGAGCCAGCGAGAGCTGCGGCTTTGTCAACTGCCTTGCTTCCCCCAGATTCGCCCAGATTCAGCGGACTGGACGGTGCTGGATGTTGGATGTGGGCGCAGTGGGCGAGCCTCTGTCTCAAAAAACTTGATGTGACCGAACTTGCCGTTTCTCAGCTGATTGACCTTGCGGATGTGGGAGCTAATGTCATAAAAGTATCCTAGAGTTACTAGAGGTGGTGCTTGCCCCATGTAGGGTCACGAACGACACGCTTTTCTGGTTGGGAAGCCCTTGCTGACTGATGACTCATGATTAGACTCGTGCTGATTCATGTATCCGCATCCTTGTCATCAGGTAAACCATGCTAAACCCAATGATGAACCATCTTCAATTGGGTTTATGCTTGGTTTATGCTTGGTTTTACATGGTTTTATCACATATCAGCGAAAAATCTAGGCCTGTAAGCAGATCATCTCCACTTCGCCACATGGCTCGAAGAGATCAATGAGGTCCTGCTCACTGGCTTCGATGGAGACGTCGCCAACCCAAAGCCTGCAGAGCATGCAGAGCTTTCTGCGCCAGCAGCTTGGGAAAACAACAAACAAAATGTCAAAAATCATCGATTGAATGATTGTGAGTCAAAACTTCTGGGTGGCTGGCGTGTGCCCATTGGGAGGCTTGACACTCTTGGGTCTGTAGCGTCGACTGCTGGGCGCCTGCAACAGTGAAATATCATCCAAAGATGCTTCCAAAGTTCCCTGTGGTACCACTGCCGCCTCAGCTTCCAATTTTGGATTGAAAGCCACCTGCCACAGACCATTGATTCCAGGTGCAAAGTTTGCTGAATTCTGCCTCCAAGCGCCATCAGGCCTTGTCCATGTAAGCATAGTCAATTTGGATTTTTACACCTGACAGATTCAGAGGTTCAGGAGGCGGATGGTTCAAAAGTCAACTCAGAAATCCAGGATCCAAGTAACCTGAACAACTCCAGTAGCTAAGCTCCGGTCCCATAAATTCCTCCCCCTGCTTCTTCATCGCTTCGTCAACCATTCTGGTGTCTTCAAACCTGGAGCAAGCAGTGCTGTACAAAATACATGCATTGGTCATTCAAGGCAACAAGGTGCATCTCTTACCTCTGCAGGACCCTCTGAGAACCAGGCTGGACATGTGCGAAGTAGCCTCGTACGTGCCGATCACTACATCGCACCTGACACGCGGAAATGCGCCTTTTGATGCTGTGGTCCCCCTTATGACCTGTCTTGCCCTGTCCTCCACAAGTGGATATCATCAAAATTCAAGGCCCTGAGATCACACAGATTGATTGTACCCGCTTGCAGACCGTCTTCTATTGAGAGTGCATCGACCCTTTTGACCTCCACTATGTGGCCGCAGTCTTTGAAGAAGTCCTGCAACTCCTGCAGCTCCATGGTGACGCGAGTAGTGACTGACATAGTGTTGCCCTCAGACTGTCATGGCTGGAAAATCCTTCATTTGAGTTGAAAAATTGAGGTCTTTCAAGTCTATGTCTAAGCCTTAAATCTAAGCTTCATCTTGTGGGACAAAACACAGAAGAATGTTGGAACCCCTTGAAGCCTCCTCTTCCGGTTTCTTGTCAACCCAGCCGACCCAAATGGTCTTGCAACCTGCACAGAATCAAGAGAGCCGAAACAGAAATCACACCCTTCCAGGCTACACATTGCGTCCCTGAGGTCCACACCTTCAGGCTTCCTGGGTGCAACGCAAGCCCGGCACAATCCAGCGACCATTTCATCAGCGAAGAACTGCCACCAAGAATCTTTGGCCGGTACGGTTCCCGCCGGCCCCTCGGCTGCGACCAGTTGCCTTGGGATAGAAACTCCAGGGACAAGATGGGACGAAATGGGACAAGGAGCACTTTTGACACAAACCCAGCAGACCCTTCTTAGCCCTTCCAAGAGCTGCCATGACCAGGACACCGCACCCCCATCTGTGCGGCTTCGGCTGCGATTTCGTCTCCGCCCTCGGCTTCCTGGCAATTCAATACGTGGCCATGCCGTGCTATGCCATGCCTGAAAAATGGGGCAAAAGTGAATCTGCAAACTCGGCAAACTTCGTATCAACATTGAAATAGAATTATGGAACCGTTTTGGAACCATCTGGAACCACAGCCACGTCCCGGGACAGGCTTAGCCCCCCGACTCCGTCGGCTGCGGCTTCTTAAGCGAGATCGGCTGCGATCCCTTCAGCAGATTTGAAATAAAAAAACATGCTTCAAAAATTACAAGCATGGACCAACAATTCAGTTGCTTCCCACCTTTCCTTAAACCAATTCAGCCAACAGCCCGTCTGTCCAACCCAACCATGATGGCCTGCTTCTCGCGGGTGCAGATCGAGACTTCCGTCTTCTTGGTGATCGTGGAGGAGGCGAACGGCCCTTCCTCAGAGGTTGGTGGAGGCATCGAAGCTTAGGTCGAATTTGTCTTCTTTCCCGAATCTGTGAAAGTGATTTCTGCATATTTCTACATGCTTCATCCAACACTCTTTACCACCTCCACTTTGATCAATCTGTTGGACTCATGATGGCAACAGGATCCAGCAGAGTTTTGTGCACGAGCATCCAAACAAGGGAAGTCATGCAAAGCTCTGCGGAATAAATAGTCAATAGTCAATAGTCAACTAAGTCTACGATGGAATTGTGGAATCATTTCCGAAGACGGCTGAGCCACGAACGGAGATCGATTGTTCTTTCCGGAGCCAGAGCGCGACCGTTGAGGCGGTGAGCTCGAGCGTGGTCGACTCCTGTCATGACCGGCCTTTCGCACGGCTTTGTCTAGCACCATCACAGTCTGTTGGAGTCAAACCAATTATATAATCCAATTAGTTTGAAGAGGTCACCTACCTTTTCCAAGAATGAACCACCATCGACTTTCGACCATATCATCTGACATCACCTCACAGTAGCATCAAGCTCCTGCGGTCCCCAAAATCCGCCAAGACTTTCAGACTTGGAACTACAGTAACTCAGAGAAAGTCGCTTCAACTTCAAGATAGAAAGTAAATCACCATCCAAAATGACTTTCATATCTTTTTGGGCCCCGTCTAAACCTGTAAAGTCACAAAGTTTTTGTATCTGTTTGCCTTAAATGGGAGGAGTCAACCATCAAAACTGGTAATGCTTAACCACAGGCTTAATCACCAAAACACTGCGGCTAACCATCAAAAAGAGATCAGTTATATATCTTTAAAAGCTTCAAAAATTGATTTTAAAATGATTCAAAACTTGACAACAAAAATCGCTAAAAATGGTGGATACCCCAGTGATCCTCAATTCTTTGGTCCTTTTGCCCCGCCTGAGCCGGTTCTCCGAGCGCTTCCGCCGGCGCCGCCGGCGCTCCGCAGGCTGAGACTCGGAGCGGCGCTTCGGGCCTCGGTCGAAGCACCCGAAAAAAATTGCCATTTTGGTGGGGAAAAATGATGATCAATGACGGAAGACTGCCACTTTTCACCAACAAGAATTGGATTTTCCTGTAGACTTTCCCTTCATACAATTCTGGGAATGATAAGTGGTGAAACATGGTGGATTTGCAATCCAAAATGATGTTTTCTAAGCCTGTACCATACGTCTTGGGACAGAACATAGTGATTAGAAGGAAGGCAAGTTCACTGTGTTTCGATGTGTATCACTATGGCATCTGTCATGAATGTAGATTTTCTCTTGATTGTGTGCGTGAATACATGCGGCATGTATATTTTGTGTATATATGAAAGCATAATGATATATATATATATATACATGTGTGCCATTCCACCTTTTCACTATGATTCTGTATTCTTCCTTCAGCGGCAAAACTAATCAAAGCCGATAAACTTGTGTGCCAAACTGTTGTATACCATCTCTGTCCAAACACGTGCCTCATATGTTTGACTCCTCAATATTTTGACAGCTGATGTGTCCGCAGCCCAGTCAGGATTCTGTGGGCCAGACTCGCAGGTGCTCGGCTCTTGCTCCTGGTCCGAGAGCGCCTTAGACGCTTTCTTTGGATGCGCACATTAATCATTTACCTTTGAGTATGCTATTTGATGTCGTTTTGTCTACTGATTTAAACTTCGATTTCTATCGCTGGAGCTGTTCGCAAGTTGAACTGAGTGCTTCACGGCATTGCAGTCACGGAGCAAAGCTGGTCCCTGCCCCTACTCTAATGACTTCAAGAGCCTTGTTTTTGTCTGCCTTGTTTTCATGTCTTGTTGGCCTCAAGTCCTGCCTTTTCACACCTGGGATGGAGATACGCTGAAGCTGGGTTTGTTGTCTTATCATGATCGGGGAGCTCACACCAAACACCGTTTTTATGATGTTTGCAGTGAAAAGAGACGCCAAATCTGCTTCGAAAGAACCATTCCATGACTTCATGCTCCACTTCCAAGCCCCTACCCCTTGAGGGAAGCTGAGATAAAGAAAGGCCGTGCGGAGGTGAACAATGGTGAACATGTATTGGTGCGGTCAATATATTTTATTATTTGCATGCCTGCTATTGATTCATTGTCGTTCATCTGCAAGCTCAATTGAGCAATGACAACACACAGTTACCCGCTGGTTTTTTCAGCCAGCACCGAAATTCAATTCTCTTCGTGCTGACGGCCTGCCGACAATGCAACAACACAATGTAATGCAAGGAACACCTGACAGAGGTGTGGGTCAAAATTGGTTTTGGGTCACTATTAAGGTAAATAATATATCTATTATATAGGTATATATATATATGGTACAGGCCTGCAGCCCCACCCCGTCCCCCCCGTCATGGTCATGGTTCCAGTCCTGGTCATGGACTTCTCAACCCGCTCCCCCTGTGGGAATGGGGGGGTCTCTTGGTCATGATCTATTTTTTTGTTTCTTTCTATCTATCTATCGATCTATCTATCTATGTATGTATGTATGTATGCATGTAAGCATGTATGTATGTATGTATGAATGTATGTCTGTATGTCTGTATGTTTGTATGCCTGTATGTCTGTATGTCTGTATGTTTGTATGTCTGTATGCGTGTATGCGTGTATGCGTGTATGCGTGTATGCGTGTATGCGTGTATGCGTGTATGTGTGTATGTGTGTATTTGTGTATGTGTGTATGTGTGTATGTGTGTGTGTATGTGTGTATGTGTGTATGTGTGTATGTGTGTATGTATGTATGTATGTATGTATGTATGTATGTATGTATGTATGTATGTATGTATGTATGTATGTATGTATGTATGTATGTATGTATGTATGTATGATGTATGTATGTATGTATGTATGTATGTATGTATGTATGTATGTATGTATGTATGTATGTATGTATGTATGTATGTATGTATGTATGTATGTATGTATGTATGTATGTATGTATGTATGTATGTATGTATGTATGTATGTATGTATGTAATGTATGTATGTTATGTATGTATGTATGTATGTATGTATGTATGTATGTATGTATGTATGTATGTATGTATGTATGTATGTATGTATGTATGTATGTATGTATGTATGTACCCACGTATGTACGCACGTATGTATGCATGTATGTATGTATGTATGTATGTGTGTATGTACGTATGTATGTATGTATGTATGTATGTCTGTATGTCGGTATGTCTGTATGTCTGTATGTGTATGTCTGTATGTCTGTATGTCTGTATGTCTGTATGCGTGTATGCGTGTATGCGTGTATGCGTGTATGCGTGTATGCGTGTATGCGTGTATGCGTGTATGCGTGTATGCGTGTATGCGTGTATGCGTGTATGCGTGTATGCGTGTATGTGTGTATGTATGTATGTATGTATGTATGTATGTAATGTAATGTATATGTATGTATGTATGTATGTATGTATGTATGTATGTATGTATGTATGTATGTATGTATGTATGTATGTATGTATGTATGTATGTATGTATATATGTATGTATGTGTGTACGTTAGTATGTTAGCAAGTTAGTATGTTAATACGCTAGTGTGTTAATACTACGTTTGTGTGTTAGTACGTTATAGGATCCTCTCTGGTGCTCGCACAGACAGTTGATGTTACGTTACAACACCTTCTATTGTACACGCGCAAACAGTTGATGCAACATTATCAGAAGTTATCAGATCTTCTCTCCTACTTCCATAGACGCTTGCACAGACACTTGATGCTACCTTACAGGATGCCACGTGCTGGGCTCGGCCGGGGGGGACCATACCATTGGGGGGGGGTAGCCCGGCCGCCGACCGGGACCATATATATATATAGATATATATATATATATATGGTCCCGTGTCCCGTGTTCCCACCCCCCCCCATGGGATGGGGGGGGTATGACCTACCTACCTACCTACATACCTACGTACATACATACATACATACATACCATTACATTACATTACCTTACCTTACATTACCTTGCCTTACATTACCTTACCTTACATTCCATACATACATACATACATACCATTACATTACATTACCTTACCTTACATTACCTTACCTTACATTACCTTACATTACCTTACCTTACATTCCATACATACATAAATACATACATACATACATACATATACAGACACACACACAGACATACATACATACATACATACATACATACATACATACATACATACATACATACATACATACATACATACATACATACATACATACCAGCATACATACATACATACATACATACATACAGACATACATACATACATACATACCAGAATACATACATACCAGCATACATACCAACATACCAACATACCAACATACCAACGTACCAACATACCAACACCACAGGCCACAGGGGGGGGGGACCAGAAGAACCATACCACCACCACAGGCCACAGGGGGGGGGGGGACCAGAAGAACCATACCACCACCACAGGCCACAGGGGGGGGGGCCAGAAGAACCAGACGATACTGTCCACCCATACCCATTGGTGGGGGGGGGAGGGGGGGTGGCCAACGCTGCACCATATATATACATACATACACACAATAAATAAATATAAATAACAACGTCACTGCAACAGGCAGGAGCACTTGGTCACCTGGCCTTCTGGCAGATCCTGAATGCGATCTGCCTGATGTTCGATGGCCCTGCAAACAAACGTGTGCTTGCGGCCTTGCTTTTTTCTTACTTCTAATCTCAAACCTGTCTGGCCTAGGGAAGCAGATTCAGGTTGCTGACAGTCAATGATTTGAAAATTTATGTCAGCTTTGTTCCAAAACGGTCATCCACCCGGGATCCAACAAATCTTGCTGGATGGCCCTGCGCCTCTCGACCCCGCACGGGGGAACCAGGCGAGGTGGCTGATCTGGGCATGTGGCACACACAGAATGTTTCCACTTTTTGAATCTTTTTGTAATGTTTTTCTGGGATAATTTCCTCGATTTTTTACTGTTCCCACTATTGGCCTCAATTTTGAGATGCTTAAAAACTTGGTGCTCGCATACACCCCTAGGAATCCGCGTGTTACAGTATGCTGAAAGGAGCTAGATCCACCACAAGCAGCAGCACCTTGCGTAATCATTGGGCAGTGCGTCTGAAACCTGACAAAGGCCGCTTCTGCGTTTCTAGAAAAACAAGAATCTGTTGCCAGTCACAAGATTCCCAGCACCCACAAGGGTCCGACTTCGGCCCCACTGAATCCAACACCAAACTGCCAGGTTGCCGTCAAGTGGAAGGCAGACGCTCTCTATGACCAAATGACACGAAGATCCATCATGAGGAATTGCAAACAACGGAATCCTAGTCTTAGATTGCTGCATCATCAGTATGCAAATAGCATGGTCATCTTTCCGTAGCTCATCATGGCCCTCTGGGCCTCCTCTTCTTCCGACATCTCGTCGAGTTCCAAGACTGCAACTTCCTGTGAGAGTTGAAGTTGCGACCACGAGCATTTCCAACGCATTTCATCCACATGGCGCATGGATGCGCATGGCCTCTCGGAGTCGAGAAGCCTCCTCGCTGAGCACTTGATGCTCAAAATGCAACTGATCCAATTCCTCCTGAGATGCGAGGGCAGGAAAGGGGACAAGGGTTATTAAGCTGAGAACCTGTTGGAATGACTGTGACACAAATTTAATCTAAATGAGGAACTTTTCATGGCAGATCCGTAACGTCCTGCTGGAGCTTGATGACACGCCGCTGTTCGACAAGCCGGGCTGCTAGGACTTCATCTACCTTAGGCCACACAGCCTAACAGCCCATCACCCCATCAGATTGTTCTGCTCATTTCGCGTCGGAGTTGGTTCATCCGTGTACGAACTTTGAGCCCACGGTGTTGAATTGAATGCCACGTCCGTCTTGAAGGCTTGACTTCAAGACTAAAGTTGGATCTGGTGGAGGAGTGACAGATTACAATCTCAGGTGTGAAGCTCTGCTGTGCCTCAGCAGTCCACACTGGGCACCCCACTAGGCCTGCTTGTTGCACTGCCTGTCGCAAATCAGGAAAATCTTAGAGATGGCTCAAATCAAAGCCCTGAACAGAAAGAACGGAGTTTGGTTTTGATACATCCGCAAACGCTCGAGTGTGCATCTTCAGGCGATGGATTTACGTCTGGTGCCGCTCAAATGCCAGCGTCGACAGTTTTAGGTGAGGTTCCATCTTCCTCTTCTCCCTTCTTTCCTTGCTTCCTTGTCACTATGCTCTTTCTCGTCTGCTCTATCGATCTGCTCTTCTGAGGCTTGTTTGTTGAAGATGTTTACAGGACCTTGCCAAAACAACGTTCCGGAGCCCTGGACGCCGACCTCAAGCTCCAGCTGCGACTCCACATCATCCAGGCAGCGCTCTAAACGTCGCTCGACTTGCGACAGCTTGAAGCAGCCCTGGCAGAGCTAAAATGGCAATCTATGGCAGACTTCTAAAAAGGCCACTTCTTCGCAGATTTCAAGCACAAATTAAATCTGTGGCACATAGCCACTTCATGGCGACTTAAAAAATGTACCAGTAGTACCCGCACGAGGCGGGGCGGAAGTTGCCTTAGGGTTATACTATAAAATTATTCTCATCTATAGATTGCATGCGCCGTGCGCCAGCCAGGCCCGTGCGTGCGTTGTTTTTTTCGAAACTGTTGCGCTGCTGTCCAAGAACATGACCCCGGCGCAATGCAACGCCAAGTGAACACTTTCTTCACACTTCGCACTGCACTCTTCACACCCCGCACTCCACA